GAAAGAGAGGTCACATGCCAGAATACTATTTTGCTCTGTACAACAGAATCCCAACATTATAGAAATTTAATCCTCAAATAACTTAGGCTAGTAGAAATTACTACCCTAAAAGGTGCTAGAAGTTGTTCCTGTAACACATTCAATATGCACATGTAATGCAATAACTGAAAGGATTATATAACAGTAAATTACAATGAAGCAGCTATGACTACCAATCCATCCATACTATTTTGCTCTGTACAACAGAATCCCAACATTATAGAAATTTAATCCTCAAATAACTTAGGCTAGTAGAAATTACTACCCTAAAAGGTGCTAGAAGTTGTTCCTGTAACACATTCAATATGCACATGTAATGCAATAACTGAAAGGATTATATAACAGTAAATTACAATGAAGCAGCTATGACTACCAATCCATCCAGCACAACACAGAAAAACGAAAACACTAAGCCAAGCATTCATGTTTACAAAAATCCTTTCCCCCAGTTATTTTATATAATCTTTTCATGCACAGAAGATTTCTATAAGGAAACTTACTACCTACATTTATGAATTTCTCACTTCCTGCCCCATAAACACAAGTCTAGGAGTGATGACCAGGACTAGAAAAATGATCTTAAGATACTCTATGCTAGACATCAATTAAACCCTGGGAAAGCCTTGTGACTTTCCCACAGAAGTGAAGAAGAACAATGTTTTCTGTTCTCTGAACAACTCCTCCTTGGTTATCCACAATCTACAAAAACTGGAGTTTTGGTCCATGATTAGAAAAACACTGGCTAGAAAGGCTGCCTGACTACAAAGTCATTCTTTGGGTGTCAAGGAATGACTTAGTCAGATGGGTACATACATTCTGAGTTTCTTCCAGAGGAGATACAAAACCCTGTAATAACATCCCACCCTCATACTGCTTTTACTATAATTAATTTTAAGATTTAAGTCATTACTGTATGACTGAACAAGGAATGTGAGCTAGATGAGCTCTCACGGTTCCTTGCAGTTTCATTTCTTCGCTAATTAAAAATAACAGACTGTGAAACACACCATTTTTATTCCTTTTATCACCCACTTAATATACATGAGAACAAACAATGTTGGTGCACAACCCAGTTAAATAAAACACCATTCTAAACAACCGTTTTATTCAGTATAATTTATCTTTAATGCTAATGGGAACACAGGATGGAAAAAAGTTCAAGCAGTGTAACATTTAAAAATACAGTTACTTTGTTCAGTATTATGAATGTTATTTGCACAGCACACTTGACTATCCAAGGTCTAATTCCACCTTCTAACTGCAGAACAAGTTTGACTTAACACCAAAGGAAGTGTAGGCTGATGACTTAGGACCAGAATGGGCAACTTATGGTTACCGAATTGGTCACTGCAGTGATTTACTTTCACTTCGTTAAGAAACTCACCCTGGTTTGTCTTTAAACCTGATTTCTTTGCCAGGAGCAATGACTAAATACATACCTAAAGAGCTGCAGCTCCGTCATTTAAACCCACAGCCTATGTGTTACACCAGCCAATATATTCCCCAGCTTTAAGTTTGCTTTTCCCCTTAGAATACCACCTCTCAAAATCAAAGGATTCCAGGGAATTTGTTAAAGCACAACAACATTGTTTCAAAGCCCCTAACAAAGAACAGCTGGCACACAACAACTGTCAGCTCAAGGAAAGCAATGTAATAAATCTTATGACAATAAATAAACAAAGAGAAAGTGTTTCATACCTATGCTAAGCAGCTGCGAATGGATCTGTAGCTTCCCAAGGACACTTCAGCGATGAGTTTCCTGACACAGTTCAGACCTCCTGAATACCATAGTCATGCAGAAAAAGCCATTTCTCATCTACAGGTAGTATCAGCAGAGAAAGAAAATAAAACCAAAGAGGTGTAGTTCAGACTAATAGCGCTAACATTCGCAGGGACATGGGAAGCTGCCAGCCCCACACAACCACCCTACCCACCTAATTACATTCAGCTGCTTGTCATGTGGTCTTGCTGACAGATCAAGTGATCTCTTTTCCTCTTTGTAAAACTAAGCAACGTAGCTAACTAGATCTCCCTAAACCAGGTAACACATTGAGGTTTTGCGTAAACTACTCACCCTCCTCCTTCTTGTTGTAGGGAGAGGAAGTTGCAGTGTGTAATTGCAACTTTTTCTAAGTATGCAAAAAAAAAAAAAAATAAAATCCAGCAAACACAGTAGTCCAATGAAACACAGTGAGCACCAAAAGTTCCAAAACTGGTTCTATATCAGCCTGGGTTTATTTTGTACCTTTATAGGTAGAAAGGTTAGTGATAACAAAACTGGCACAGGCACTAGAGTGAGACCACGTGAGAGGGAGCTGGAAGGATTTGGGAGGGCAGTGGCAGCAGTACTACAGGGCTTTGTAGGCATCCATGCCCAGTCCTTTCTGCT